TTGTTGCCTTGGGCTGACTTGAACAGATATACATCTGGAGCGCCATTTGTGCAAGCTGCCGACTAGTCGAGTACATACGCTGTGTTTCACAGCAATGCTCTTCCTTTGTAGATGAAATTACGTTGTTGGGAGATGAGTTGATCTAACTCTTTATTTGCTTAAGCCTTTATCTCTTTGAAGTGTTGCGGTGAAATGAATGACACATCAGGGCTTAGGATGTATGTATGTCAGAGTGCCAAAAAAACTTAGAGTATGGCTAGTAAAAATTATGTGATAACTTGGCTTTTGCAAAATATTTATTTAAAGGCATGTGTAAGTCTAAATGAACTGACTTATATAAGTAACCTACATGAACTTTTTCTTACATGGTAGTTTTCTATTATGTTTTTAACTATGCAATTGGTTTCTAAAGCCATAGCTAATTGTCCAATTATAAATCTAAACATGGGTGTAGACACTGAAGACGAGCACCATCAATGTGAATCTCCTTTAAAAAGACAGTGTCTCTAATTTTGGGCCATTAAGAAGAATCCTTTCTATAATCCAGTATTATCACACTTGCAATTATTTAATGAATTTTTGTATTTAATGTCTGTCCTTTCCGCTGAACCGTAAGCATCACCAGGACACGGAGCAGGTTGTCTTGTTTAACATCTTGAACTTGATGCCTTTCCTTAGTTTCTCACACTTATTAGAAGCTCAGTGACTGATTTTGTATTCTCTCTTTGCTTTACATTCAGTTCCTTCTCATCTGGTGGTATCTATTCATGCATCATACGTTTTAAGATAGACTGACTGTGGTTATTTCACTCATCCTACGCTACTGGTTATCATTCCCCCAGATAGCTTCTTTCACATGCAAGAGATTCTAAAATAAACTGCCTAGACACAGTGTCTGCTCCACTTCTTGTACCTTCTTTTAATCCTAGATTTTAAAAACTTCTTTTCCTGAGTAGCGTGATCCTGTCCTCCACATTTTTTTTGTGCCCTTGATAAAATCATCTGTAGGAGGTAAGCCACTAGTCAACTTTTTTACGCATACGTATAGGCATGCTATGGATATAACAAGTACAAAATAATAATGAAGAAAACATCAAATAATATAAGACACAATCATAAGATCATTAAGGAAATGTAGACCGCCAGAATTCTTTAGGAGGGATTTCTTAAAGAGAAAGTAAGTCAAGTTGGTTCAGTGGATAATATATTGTTCTATAAATGAAATAAGAGGGCAGAAAAACAATTTTCCAGCCCAAGGGACCATCCTATGCTAGGAAAGGCACAGAGTTAGAAGCACATCCCTTCGGGCCCCCCTTCTCCTACAGGAGGCCATAAACAAATTAGCTTAAAGTTTAAATAAAATAGAATGATAAGGAAAGATTAAAGTAAAAATGTGGTACCATGCTAGATGTTAGAATGAAGAAGGTATCATCCGAAGGAGATGATTCCAACTACTGTTTTTATGATGAACCACGATGAGGAATGTTTAAGAAAGAGAAGAGACAGGAAATTCTTAATGTAACCATTTAATCAAATGGGCCGAGTTGGGGATTGGAAAAAAATAGAGCTTTTGGAAAGTTTTCCCTTTGGCAGTCAATTCATTTATATAGTGCTGCTTTCCAAATCACATTTGAATTTCTTTGCCTGGTTTCAAGCTTTCACTGTCCTCTGCTTCCCCCTCCTCCACCACCAGCAGCTCCTGCCTCCTTCCCACCAGTAAAAACACCAGCTAATCCTTTTCTTATCATCTGGCTTCTCTCTGCAACTTCTTTATTTCATGTATTACTCATCTTATGCATTGATAGTATGTATTATTATTCAACTTATTGTATATTTATATATTATTCAGCTTTATTGTTATTCAGCTTACTTTCAACGTAATCTTTTTATGTATGATTCTTCCTGCTTGAAGGACATTAGATTGTGAAAAGCATGACATTTGTTTTTCTCCACGGAAAGGTCACGTAAAAACATCTTTCCATCTATCCACCCCTCAAACATGTTTTCTCTGTAGCATACTAGAGCATTAAAAATAGCAACGATATCATTTTTCAGTTTGGCATGAGGTCTATTGGACTTCAGACATTCAAAATAAAATTAAAATAAAAACAATGCAAGCTTGATTCATGCTTAAAATGCAATAGCTAGAAACTCTACCCATATTTCTCCCAGATAATTGACCTTTTATTTTTATTACCTCTTCAGGCCAGAGTTTTATTTTTTTCTTTGTGAGGGTGTAGGGGGTTCATTTTATGTCACCTTAAGTACTTAGTGCCTTGTACAGGCTGTATAGCAGTATATTTTTATTGATTAATGAGCCCAAGGTTAATTTCATTTAGTGGGAAAACAAAGGCAGTTAAGCCTACTTTCCAATACTTCCATTCTTTATCTGTTTCTTAAAAAAACTGTTTCACTATGGACAGTGGACCTTCCATTCTTATTTTTACTTACTTTAAGATAATTTTGTTGTTTAAAAAGAAGGCAGTTTATGGTCCCTTTTACAATTTGAAGATTGAATTTTATTTGGTTTCTGCAGTGTTGGCCTCTGTAATTCCTGTGTGTTTTGAACATGAAGGTACCATTATTATTCAGTGTATGCCTAAAGAGAACTAGAAAATAAATGGACCTGTAATAATTACGCAGTAAAGCCAAGTGTATCATTTTGACTAAGAAATTGCAAAGGCTTCGTTTCTCAAAAATTACATAATCACGTATATTGTTGAATTTCTCTGTACAAACACCCCTGATTTATATGCCCTTTTTTTAAATTTTTCTTTTTGAGAAAGATATAAGGAAATGGTACACTCATCAAAGTTCTGATAGGTTAGTGACAGCCAGTTAGTCACAAATTGTAGCTTACGGCTACAAGTACACCTGTCATTTTTTTGTAGACTATGATGTCTACTGTAGTTACAGTAGCATATGTATTCTTTACATGCCAGTGTGCTGAAAACATATTTAATTTTATTGGGTGCCTTTACCAGAGCTTAGGTAATTTTTTAAATGGTAAAACAGTGGTAACTAGTTTCTTATATTAATAGCACCATGAAGTTTTTCTCTCATGTCAAAAACAAAGTTCTTAATTAAAAATGCAAATTGTATATATATTTTTTATGTGTGATAAAGTCTTGGGGTTTTTTCTTTTAATAAAATGTTCTTTTATGAGGAGAAATATGAAAATATTTCTTAAACTGAAATATTTACAGGTGAAATTATATGATGCCTGGGATTTGCTTCACAGTAATGCGGGGGGAGGGAGTATAGATGGGGTAAAGATGAAATAATTGAAGAAGCTGAGTGATGAGTACTGGAGAAGAATCCATTATTCTTCCGTCTACCTGTGTATATATTTAAAGTTTTTGATAATAGAAATCTAAACTTCATGGCTCATGTGATCTTTGGAACACTTTACTATACATTTATAAACCTCTGTAAAAATCAGCATTACTCTAGGTGTTGGAAAAAGGGCACATCTCTCCTTACCAACTGGAGGTCCCTCCTGAATTCCGTATTCCAACTAGCTGTATGGTACAGTCTCATGGTGGTCACCCAAGATGATGACTTTCTAAATTAGTTATTTATTGAATTGGGTTAATTCTGTTGAAATATCTATTATTGCATTAGCTCTATCTCTACTCTTATTTCAAGTCTCATATCTGTCTTTTGGCAGTATTAAATATTTGTGGGATGAATGAATGAATGAAGCCCTGAATACTTCTCCTGTCACAGCACTCTTTATAATTCCTTTTTAACTTGTCTGTATCCCCTGTCTAGATTTCAAGTTTTATAGAGGCTGAAGCCAAATCTAGGTCACAGTTGTGTCCCCAGTATCTGGCGTAGTATCTGGCCTACACTAGACCTTCAGTAAATATCTACGGAATGAATGTAGTAATTAATTTATCTTCTTAAGTGGTATCCAGGATTACTGTCTTTATTTCAGCTAATTCATCCTCCATGTAGTTTCTGGAGGGATTGCTCTACACAGCAAATATGATCCTATTTTGCCCATCAATAGTGTTTTCTTATCAGGGTAAGCATTCAGACATTTATACGTGAAATCTGAGACCCCTCATTGTGTGGCTCATGCCAGCTGTTCGCTCCCTCTCTCTCATCTTTGTATTTCACCACTCCACAGACTATGTGTAGTACTTACATATTTTATGCCCCCCTCCTTTGGAACATTTCCTCCTTCTGGGAATGTCACCCCCATCCATGTTTTAAACATGGTGTCACTGGGGGCGCCATGGGGAAGCTGAGGTGATCACTGCCCCTGTGCAGTGAGGCTGGAGAAGCAGCAGCAAACGCCACAGCACCTCTGCTCTCAACACACTTTCTCCTTCTCAACTGCTGACAACCATTTTCTTCTTACCATTTTTCTCTTCTCTGACCATGAATATCCCCACAGCAGCAATTACTTTTTTATTTTTTGTAACGTCCTCCCTTTGCCTGGCAAATAGAGGAACCCAATAAATATTTGCAGAATGAACATATTAAGGAATGTCTTTTTTGCTAAACAAGTAATGAGTTTTCCATAAAAGATGTTAAATCAGTGATAGATTATACTTACCAGCATACTCAAGGGTTGTTTTTCACATTTGCACCAGGTTTTCTCTATTTTTTAGGTCGGTCAAAAGACAAACCCCTGAATTGTATACATTTAAGAATGAGATGCTGAGGTTAGAAAAGACCTTGATGTGAACCAAGGGACCGAGGGAAACATGATGCTTAGTTGTTCAGAAGTTCAAAATTTATTTAGTAGTCAGAATAATTCCGATGATACTGTTAATGAAGCCTTGGGTTAGCTTCAGTGGAGATTGCTTCTGACAGATATTTCAAAGCTCCGACGTAGCTGGGTCTTTGACCCTCAGTATGTATTTTGTAAAAGAGCAAAAAGTACAAAAATCATAAAATGTTGGAAAATGAGATCTCTTACTAGGTTGATGTGAACCTTGTAGCTTAAGAAAGTTGTAAAGCTTGGGCTTTCCTCTCTCTCTCTGCAGATATGTCTTCTCCGACTACTATGAAGAAACCTGAAAAGCCATTGTTCAGCTCTACATCTCCACAAGATTCCTCCCCAAGATTGAGCACTTTCCCCCAGCACCACCATCCCGGAATACCTGGAGTTGCACACAGTGGTAAGGAGTTTCAAGCGTAGAAGAGAAACTTCCCTCTTGTTTGCAGAGCCTAAACCCTCAAGGATGGATCAAAACTCTGTCCTTATAGCTAAGGTGACCTATTTTCTCAACCAAAGAGGGAGGGTCGTAATCTGATCCAAAAAATTTTTATTAATATATGAGGAAAGATTTTAAAGCCATACAATTAAATAGCATCTACATAATGTATTTTTAAATTGCCTGTATTGGAAAGATTACAGTCACAAAAGATAAGAAAATATATAGTTATCCTAACAGTAGCTTTCAGGTTGGTCCTAATTTTATATATTTTACTAAGAGAAAGATGGAGTTTCAAGTATGCTGCTGAGTTAGAGTATTTCCAGCAGCATTGATATATAGACACTATTTCCATAGATACTATTTTCTCTACAGAAATCAATGTTTTAGCTACTTATTTGGGAGTAAAATTAATCAGAAAAATAAAAGAAGCACTTTTCTTTGACAATTATTTCATATACATAAATCCTTCCTGTGGGCTAGTACATTTGATATTATGTTTAATATCATAATTTAAATAGGAAAAAGAATCCAGTATTTCACATTTATACTTTGAGGAACAATTAATGTGAAATCCTCTTTCAAAATTGAAAATGAGATATAATTCATAAGCAGTACTCCATGCTTTTTACCTGTTGCTCTTAAACCCCAGAAAGGGGTAGTCTGAATTTTAGGTGGAGAAAGTTTATTATGTAAAAAAAAAAAAAAAAAGTTTATAGTGATACTCTTATTGCTTTAAATTTATGGTGAGACAACTCTTTATTCTTCAAAAAAACTGAATCTAGCTTTTAAACCTTTATTCAAGGGATATGACATCTGTTTATAATAAAGTTCTTAGCTTTTGTCTATAAATATATATTGATATGTATTGTCCCTATACTTAAAAATGCATGGCCTTCAATGCTATCATTAAGACAATTATAAAATTAAGAGAAGAATATACAAGTCAGCTGTGGTATATAAAATTTTTTACATTTATTTATTGTACCACTAAGACAGATGAAAAAGATCAGTAACTATTTCATACATTTGTAACGTTGAGAATCTGGGCAAAATTAACTTAGAAGTCAAATCACCCATTTATAATGATATCTGATTAAAGTGTTCATATTTCTAATATTTGGAAAAAATTCAACAGTGCATTTTTATATAATAAACCATGAGAGATCTAGATAAGCCTTCCACCTTTGTCCTTTACCATATATATGTTCAATATGTGATATATTAGGGCCTGTGGCAGACACCTTATCATGAGAAACAGTTTCTGTCCTTAAAGGGCTCATGGCATAGTGGGGAGAGAGAGGGACCATATCATCAGCCAGGCATCGAGTATGAACAGGATTACATCCTTGGAGGAGGATTAGATGCCTGGAAGAGGTGTGTTCTCAGCTGAAGTTTGAAGAGTGAGTTCACCACAAGAAGGAACAAGCCAGGGGGGCGGTCATTTCAGGCAGAGCGGATAGCGTGTATCAATGCAGTAGAGGTCATTGCAGCAAGGAACTGCCATATGTTGAAGGATCCGCAAATGTTGAAATGTGCCCTGAATAGGAGAGAGTGGCCAGAGATGAGGCCAAAGAAGTGGAGCAAGACTGGGTCTTAAAGCACTTGAGGTCTGTACAAACCTGTGAAGTTGTTGGGATTTTATTATTGAAGCAGTAGGGAGCCATTTAAAGATTCTTAGCAGAGAAGTTCCATGATTTAAATGATACTTTAAAAAAAAATTATTAATTTGAGACTATACAGGATATATTGGAAGGAACAAGACTGGAGGAAAGAAGGCAGTTAGGAAGACTTTGTAATATCTAGGCAAGGAATACATAAATGTACACGTATGCATGCATGTATGTATGAGTTCTTTCATAATGAAGGGAAACATGTTTTGCCTTGTAGTTTGCTTTTCTTTCTTTAAAGGACTAGAATGACTTTTATTGATAAAGTAGCCATTTTTACTTTCATTGGGAATTCTGCATTCTATCTAGTTTGTATCAGGCCAGCCAGAGCTTATTGGAGCATAAGTACTTGGGAGCCCAGAGATTTGAGCTCTGATTTGCTACGTACCAGTTCAGATCAAAAGAGATCTCTTCCAAAACTACTGATGCCAAATGATCTTAAAGCCCAGAGGAGCCATGATGGAGCTATGTATATATCCTCCAAGGGTTTGTGTACAGATATAAGTAAAGACCGTGGTTAAATTGAGCTGAGATTAAGAGCACTTCAACACTGAGTCAAAAGATGTGCAATTTAATTTAGGCGTTGGCATTTTCTTAAATTATACATTCAAGTGTGTATACTTCTTAAATAAAGTAGTATTTCAACAAGGAGTTTTGTTTTAAGAAATATGTGATTGTTCTCTGAAATGCATCCCTTTGATGGCGGATGCTCAAACTTCAGTGTGTGCAAAGATTACGTGGGGCACTTGTTTAAAATGCACTCTCTGGTGCCTCACCCCTGGAGGTCCTCATCTGGTAGGTCTGTGGTTAGGCCCAGGAATCTGTACTGTAGCAACAATCCAGAGGATTCTGAGTTCCCTGGACATTCAGGGAGCAGAGTTGTGACCATAAAACTGAGTTTATGATTCTTCTATGATGTACATTTTAAATTTCTTGTATCTTCTGAAAAAGCTTTCTTTGGGGAAGAAATGGAATATCCCTTAAGGGTAATTTTTTTTGTACATAATTACAAAGCTGGAGATAAGTCATTCCAGATGATTTTCATTTATAGGTCATGGAAGGAATTTATTTTTCATATTGTTTGCTACATTGTCTCGTAAAACACTAAACATTTATCATATAAATTTCCTATGATCTGGATCAAAATAGTAAATAGAAATAGACAGTTAATCTTCACTTCTATATATATTGGTTGATACTCTTAAATTGTACTTATGTAAAGTACAAATTTAACATTATGGAGATAATGATTGTGCAACTGTATTCTTTCCCCATTTTTAAACTTAAGCATTATATTTTAAAAACTAAATAATAAATTATGATCACACTAATTTTGAAAAATTATAGTAAAATTAAACATGTACATCACGTATGTTTTGTACATTATTTCTCTTTATAAAATATGTGATTTATGGGTAAGTTAATATGCCTATATAAAAGTTTAAATTTGCATTTCTGAGGGTTCTGTTCTTGGTCTTATCTCAATAATGTCTTTTGAGCTACATGTAGTAAAAGTTAGAGTAGGAAGAAAATAGAACTCTTGGTTTTAAAAGGAACCTTTTCACTAAAAAAAAGAGTTCCCAGGTTTATGTTCAAATATTCCAAAGCATTTATACAATGATCAGGTAATTGTTCAGGACATTACTAATTATTGGCTTCCCTTCTAAATAATGCAAAATATTTACTTAAAATTGGAGTACACTTCTGTTTTGAATTTTGGTAGAAAATGTGTGGGTCCCCTGCCCTCTACTTAATGCTGTGACTTGGTCTGTACTTAGGAGACAAAGACTTTTTAATCAAAGAATGTGTTCTGATGGGAAATAACTTTGCTTAAAGAAATATTTTATGAATTATTGGCTTAACCTATAAAAGAGAACCTTCTTTTTTTTAAACCATTCATAGATCTAGAAAGCAAGATTGTTCGTTCCCTAGACTGGAGGTGATATCTGTGTGGGCTTAGCAGTCCTGGCATAGAGGATAATAGTAAAAGACTAGCTTATTTTAAGAGAGTTTGGTTAAATCAGAGGGAGGAAATGAAGAGTCTTCGGTTGTATAGTTTCCCAGGATTCTGTAGGATTGGGACGGAGCAGTATGGCCAACAGCTAATGAGTCCTCTTTCCTTTCCTGTCTCCTGCAGTCATCTCAACTCGGACTCCACCTCCACCCTCACCGTTGCCATTTCCAACACAAGCTATTCTCCCTCCAGCCCCATCGAGCTACTTTTCTCATCCAACAATCAGATATCCTCCCCACCTGAATCCTCAGGATACTCTGAAGAACTATGTACCTTCTTATGACCCATCCAGTCCGCAAACCAGCCAGGTAAAAATGAGAGAGAACATAAAATTAAAGCACAGGTCTAACGGTAAGCCCTGAAGCTTACTTAGACAATGTGTCTGGCAGGACAGCAAGCTTTTGAAATCCATCTTCAGGAAGTTTCTTGGTGACTCACTAAGTTTTTATTGAAAGGTGGCTGAATGACAGGTAGGAAGTGTGTTGCCCCAAAGGAAGGGGCACATTTGTGAAGATGTTCTTGGTTTGATGTTTTGGGATTTTCATTGAGTGAAGAGAAAGTTAATGCAGAAGGTCCACTGACAAAAATGTTCTGAGCTGGAGTTCACACCTCTGAAATACCTGGTTTGACACAGAGACAAAGTGCTTATTTCAGGCAGAAGCGAAGTATGAGCTAAAATAAACACACACAAAAGACCTTACAGTTGTATTTATAGACCAACTATTAGGTATTAAAATAAGCTTTGGTAATGTAAACATTTTCAGTGTTTGATGACTACTTGAATATTCTTTGCTCAGACATGACTATGTTTCATAATGAGTGACATTACCAGAAGTCTTTTTTTTTTTTTTTTTTAATTTTTATAGTGGTAAACACTGTGCAGTGGCTTTAAGGATTCTTTGTATAAGTGTAGTGACTCATGTGCCTTCCTCATTCCCTAAACATGTGGTTTCTCCTTTGGAGAGGTCACTTCATGGGGGTTTGGTATAAGAGGATTTTCCACAATCAAGTAGACAGTCTGCCAAAGCTGGGTCTATCAATCATCGTAATATCAAAAATCTGTAATGTAATTTCGATCTTATGGTCTGGTATTTGGCTCTGCTATTTTACCTCCAAGACTCCTGTCCACTTCTTATCACATTTTTTAACGTTCTGCGGGATTTTCATAAGTGTTCTGTCATTAATGCTGTTCATTTACTAAAATGCCAGTAAACAGTATGTGCATATTAATTTAGAATTAACAAAGAAAGATCTGAAAAAAAAATCCCTTTGGTCTTAATTTAATTGTTAACATGGAGCAAAATGGTCCCTTCTGATTTTTTTTTTTTTTTTTTTGTGAGTAACAACATGTCCAGCACTATTTGGGTTACTTAAAATTAAGTTACCTGTACGTTTAGCTCCATTGACTAGTAATGCTAAACTAAGTATACTGTTCTTGAATTTTGAATTTAAAGTTAAATGATTTGTATTTTAGAAGAAAATGTTCAAATGGTGTAGCACTTTTAATGACTGTAATAATAATTACTAGGTAAAACAGTAGGATCTTGGTATATCAATTTAGAAGTAAAATTTGCTGTCAGAGCATGGATTCAAAAGTCTCAGTTCCATAGAGCATTTTGCTAGACTCAGCTGGGAACAGTGCACACAAGGTCTGATTTTAATTTGTGTAGAATTTCCATGAATAACAAAGTCTAATTAAGACATCCATTAAAAGTCCTTAACGTTAATTCAGTGTGGAAAATCTTAGAGTTCCATTGGATTTTTTTTTTTTAACTGATGTCTTAATTAGGCGCTGTTAGGGGAAAAATTATGCAAATTAAAATCAGGGCCTTAGTGTTCTGCATTTCTTTAATTATTCAGTGCTTGTTTTACGTATATTTCAATTTCTTTATAAGTTAAGAGGGCATGTTAGGTGATAATCTGCCTATATTGTTCTCAGTTTTTCTTCATATTTTCAAGGTAAAGACCCAGCTTCTGAGAAGCATCTTACTCTCATCTCAATTAACAAAAAAAATTTCCTCTCAGGATTTTGTATAATATGAGCAATGTACTATAAGTAGGATAATCCTTTCCTAATGCTGTTCATCTTCAGATAAGATGTCTCTCTTTTCATATCTACAATGTGAAAGTTCATCTATTAGCAACCTTAAAAGACAAGCTTTATAGTGTAGCTTCATCTGTTTGAACCAACAGAAAACTGAAAAGAAATAACCCTTCCATTCTTCTGACCCTGAGTTTCAGGAAAGTTGTCTATATTGGCTTGGGAATTCTTTCTTTGTCACTTTCACTTTTTTTAAATGAGAGAAACATCTGTTTGTTGGTTTATGTCGATTCAATTCCAGTAGACCCAGTAGACAAAGCTTGCAGGGTGGGCAAGGTAATATATTTGGTGGCAGCATTTTCTTGACAATATTGTTATTTTTCTCTTCCATGCTCTCAGGTAGGTACTGTCAAACTGTTTTGGTGAACACAATATACAGAAAGGCTTTTTACCATCGAATGTACCACCAATGATAAAACATGATCACTCTTTTTTTCTTGGGGGAGATATATAAAGCAGTCTTTTGCAGTAGTCGCATAACCAAAAGTTGATGGTCTTCTTTAGAAACAAATTGCTTTTTCCCTTTGAAAGGAAAAGTGGGTCTTTATTATAAACTGCAGAGTTGTTTTTGCAGGAACATTATATCTGCTTTGATGTTTAACTTCAACTCAAAACCAGGTAATTTGCACTTCAAAATAGGACTCTTGATATTCACCTTTTTAGCTCTAAAAATCAGGAAAAAATGAGTACTTGTTGACCTGTTGTCAACTGTTCCTTTCCAGTATCCCCCAGGGCTGTACTGATTTTGACTGTTAAGTCGAGCAACTGAGATGCTTTGTCCTCCCCACAGCAGTTTGAAGATTAATTGCATTGCTGCTACACCGATTAGAGTGAGACAGTCATGCTATTTAATGGAATATTTTAAATAAAATTAGTCTAAGATATAAGTCTCTCCTAGGTCTCCATAGGGGGAAAAAAATCTGGTCAGTTTTCCTGACTTAAATACTTAATTTACTCATGATGAATATTCAGGATATTCAAAAGTTCATTTTCTTTATAGAATAAATAATGTGGCCTCTGAGGCACCCAACTAAGACTTACTTCATGTCTCTAAGTTCTAATAGTTAAGTGTTCTTAGCTGTTTATCTTTTTCTTTAAAGAAATGTCTACTTGTAATTTATGTGCAGGCATTTAGATAAATATTCTGTTTTATTGCTTTTTTGACTTTAAAAGTGGTACAGATTATAAAGACTAAACATTTGTGGAGAACACCCTCATAGCAAATTGTTGTGTACATTATGTACTGGTGAATTCCAACATGAGCATAATTAAAAATACCATTCTCTGTCTAGAAAAATACATTCCAGTATTTCTTCAAACAGTGTTCCCTTAGAATTTTGTCTCCCACTATGGACACTATTCTTGTACTGGGGCTAAAACTCAGGTAATAATATCTTTTCTATCACTGCCTAGCGGATTTTCTCTTTAATTCTCACAAATGTCAACAATCACCGTTCTGTGTAACTCTCCATGCCCAGCAATGGAAGAGTAACTCAAAAAGCAGAGTATATTTGATTACGCTCTGCTTCACTTCAGCACATTTTAATTTACGTTGGAAATCTTTTATTTGTAGGTGTAGGGTTGGACCTAGTTCAGCTTTTTATATCATTGTGTGGACCCTGGAATTTTAAATGTTGAAAATATCATTCTACCTGCTTATATTAGTAAATCGTCACAAGTCGAGTGGAGATTCTAGAATCAAAATTGCCTGATGTGTGTTTCTGAGTGCACCTGTGTGTGAGCAAGGGCTAGCATTTTTGTATGCCAAAGAATAGGCCTTGACTATAAATGATGGGAATTGTTGAGTTTGACGCCTTTGGTCCCCTAGAAATTCTTGTCTCCCTTGTCTCGGTGATATCATCATTTAGGTAAACTTTGTGTTCTAAAAGCCAAAAGTGACCATGAAGAGCAGATAAGAAGGTAGCACTGATTCTAATTCTCACTAGCTCAGCATTGAAGTCTCCACTTGAGTTTTCTGTCCAACTCAGTGGAAGGATCAGTTCTACCTGGCTCTCGGGATGTTGTAAAGATGACTAAACCTATATAAAGTGCTTTGAAGCTGAAGACTTTCTTTTAAATGCTGCTGCTTCTTATGATTACTAACCACTGACGAGCCTCTCTGACTCAGATCTGAGAGAGCTTGTGTGGCGGTTGCACACAGCACACGGGGTCCACTCAGCTGTGTGTGCTGAGTGGAGTTGTTGGACGAGACGACTGCCTTTTGGAGTGTTTCACCCGGCATTCTGTTTTTGTTTTGTAGCCTAACAGCAGTGGTCAAGTAGTAGGGAA